CATTTGGAGGTGGCGCTGATACTCAGCACAATGTGATCACATAGCCACACAACCACGCCATGGTTACTAGTCTCCTAGTGTCCTGTCCTTAATCCAGTATTGCTGTAACAGAAATACAAGTGGGTGGCTTTAAAGAACAGAAATGTATTTCCTCACTGTTTAGGAGGCAGTTGTTGTTGTTGTTACGTGCTGTCAAATCGGACCCAACTCATAGTGACCCCTCCTTGGGTTGCCAAGGCAGTATCACTTCGGAAGTAGATTGCCCCATCTTCCTTCCGAGGAGTGGCTGGTGGGTTTGAACCGCTAGCCTTCTGATTAGCAGTCAAGTGCCTTAGGCACTGCAAAAATGGCATGGAGGCCACATGTTCTGATCTCCTCTAATCCCACAAGAAGAAGACAGGATTACCAGCAGTAACCCAAAGCCTATCTCTACAAGGCCAGACATGCTGCCTCCCTCCAGCCCTTTCTCCAACCATTCCTCCCAAAGCACCACCACCTCTCTCCTGGGTTCGATAATTCGTTGCAGTGGCCACACAGAACTCACAGATTATGGGGTTTATTAAGGAAGCACCAGACTACAACTCAAGTTCAGGAAGAACGCTCAGTCTCTCTCCCAGCCCACCGTCCCTCAGCCAGCAGTCTCTCACAGTCTCTTTTCCAGCAGTGCTGGTCCCTCGGTGTCTCACTCAGCAATGCGTGTCTCTTGCGTCTCTTTCCCAGCAACACGTGTCTCTTTTCAGGGGCACGTGTCTCTTTCGGCAGCACGTCTTCCTCAACCAGCAGTCAGAGAGAGTTCTGCCTCCAGGAGACCTCCTTTTGAGCCCAGAAGGGTGGTCAAACTAGCCAATCACAGCATCAGAACTCTAAACACGCTAGAGAGAGTGGGCACCTCCCAGAACATTGTTTTGTGCCACACCCAACAGAAATACTCCAGGTGGACAACTTCAGCAATCAGGAGCTCCTCAGTTGCTCATAGAAAATCCCACCTTGGGATTTACAAAGACTTATGGGTAGAAAAGCCACACTAAGTAATTTACTATACCACAGACACTACACTACCAGAGCTCCCATTTAGGAGGCTGTTATTGTTGTTATGTGCCGTGGAGTTGGACCTGACTCACAGTGACCCCTCCCTTGGGTTTCCGAGGCAGTATCACTACAGAAGTAGATTGCCCAACCTTCCTTCCAAGGAGTGGCTGGTGGGTTTGAACCGCCAGCCTTCCAGTTAGCAGTCAAGTGCCTTAGGCACTGCACCACCAGAGCTCCTGTTTAGGAGGCTAGGAGTCTAAATTCAAGTCACCGGCTCTGAAGGAAGGCTCTCTGAGGGATGGTCCTTGTCTCCTTCAGCTTCTGCAGCCCATTCTCAGTTCCTTGGTGATCTTCACAGGGCATCTAGCTTCTTCTAGTTGGGCTCCTTGCTTCTGTGCTTTATCTATTCCTTCTACATCTCAAAAGTGGTTGGGTTTAAGACACACCCTACAGTGATACAGCCTCATTAACATAACAAAGAAAACCCTATTCCCAAATGGGATCACCTCCATAAGTACACAGGTCAGGATTTCAATACATACCCATACCACTTACCAATGCCCACCCAAGGGAACACTCCACATTTCAATTGTATGTGCACACACACAGAATAAAGAGAAATCAGCTTCAGCTCACTAAAGCTGAATGAAATCTATTTTTCCATATTCTGAATGTGAAAGCAACGAGAGGGCTCAGCCTGCAAGGCAGTCAGGAAGGGACCAGCTCCTAGGGCACCGCTGGCCTCTGCTGGTCACCACAGGCACAGCAGTGAGAAACAAGGAGGCTCACTGCTCTCCAGTGGCTTCCACATCACCTGCAAATGCAAAAAGGCCCAGGCCTCTCCCACTGACATTGTCACATTCTCTGCTTCAGTCTCTCCAGGCTGATGGGCACAGATTTCTCCAGACACGCTGGGGACTGTGCTCCTCACCAGCCCCAGCAGAAGACAAACCAGCTGGCAAAGCCGAGCAACGGAGGTGCTGACTCTGACAGTTGGTGTCCTATAAGCCACCAGCCTGGGCTCCCAGACTGAGTGTGTGAGTGAGCCTTAGTTCCCTAACTCAGGCCTGAACTGTGAATGGAAGCCCTCGGATAGAGTTACCAGACACAGTGAAATGGGAGGCGCTGCTCCATTTCTACAGCAACAGAAATCTTCTGGTGGAGCAAATGTCAAACTCCAGACCAGTTCAGAAGGAGAAATGACAATGCTGGAGGTTGTTTCTTACAGTACAACTTTTGCAGGGTCATGATTCCATAGCTGAGAGGATTAGGGTAGAATGAATGCCTCCACTTCCCAGCTGCAGCCCACAGCCCAGCTGGCTTGTGGCTGCAGTACAGGTGCACTCACCAGCAGTCCTAACCACTCTCGACTGAAGTAAACGCGAGGGGAGAAGAGAGAGATCATATTGGACCGTCAATGATGACAAAGCATTGCTGAGCTGATTTCAGAGTCCGACCCCACCAATCAGAGTTCTGTGAAACACAGCTGAAAAGCAGAGCCCTGCGGAAACATGAGGCTAAAGAATACTGTGGCTGAAATGCAAGCTATGAGACCGATATACCAGACTCCCCAGTTAACGCCGCCACTTGCTTCTCACCCTGAAGGAGCTAGTCCATCTCCATGGACTCCAGTTTCCTTAACTTTAAAATACCTGCCTCCTAGGAGTCCCTGGGTGGCACAGAAGGTTAAGTACCCAACAACTAGCCAAAAGCTTAGCAGTTTGAACCCACCCAGAAGCACTTTGCAAAAAAGGCCTGGCAATCTGCTTCTGAAAGGCCAGACTTGAAAACCTTAAACAGCAGTTCCACTTGGACACACATGGGGTCACCATGAGTCAGAGTTGACACGACAGCAACTGATGTGGTTTTTCTTGGTGTTTTGGAGTTTGAGTTTTTGTTTTTGTTTGAGTATGGCAGGGATGAAATGAGAGAGACGTACTTCTGAATGAAGGCCTAGCCCACAGTCATACCTCCATATGATGGCTACCATCATCGTCACCAGCATCAGACACTGTACAAATGGTCACAGTACCGGGCTTCCCTGGGTCTTACTCTGGACGCTCAAGAAAAGATCAAATTGAAACAGCCCTACCCCTTGAAAGCTGCGCCCAAGGCAGCCAAGACCATCAGCAATGCAGCCACCTATAGATACTCTGACGAGCTCCTCCTACCACATCAGAGACAAGGTGAATCACTGCCTGCGCTGAAACAACACTTCCCCCACAGTCGCACATGTGACTGACAACAGGAAACCTCCTCTCTGACTCAGGCTGGACACAGAGACCTTCAGCCAGCATCTGCACAAGCTGTGATGGACTTAATAGCAGACACGTTGTTAGTCACCACGACACACACTTTGCCAAGGCTTTATGTCATTAGCCTGACCCGCAGGGGCACTGTCTCCTTCCACCTTCACATCAAGTGAGGACGGCATTCAGAACTAATCCATGCTGGGCAGCCCTACCTTTGGGTATGGTCAACCACTGAGAGCAGCTCATTCAAAGCTGTCCAAAGGTGGCTTCACCAATGTGGCAAGAGCAGCCCCGCCAGGAAAGGGACACCTCAGACTGCGGTCACCCTCACCACCGCTCTGCTACTTGCCAGTGTCAAATCACTACAGACTGGATAAACTGAGATGTGGCTCCTCTCAAACCGCCCCTTCTGGAGTTCAGTTGTGACTCAGCAGTCAAGTGTGGAGAAAGGCCTCCTCCACTTAAATGAAAGTCACAGTGCCCCTAAGAAGGCCCTGTAGGATCTAACCAAACTGGCACTGTCCACCCCTCACCAATTCCACCTGTTGCTGTTCCCCCCAATCACACCTGCTGCCAATCGTGAACGTGCTGGCCTCCTCTGCCCGGAGCACCCCTACCCTATGTGCCATGGGGCAAATTTCTTTCTTTTCCTTTAGGCCCCCACTGGAATGTCAACTTCACAGGAAGCTCTCCTTCTCATTCTTCCTAAAATGGGTCCCCATCCTTCTCTGGGACAGCAGCATATTAGTCTCCTCCTGTACACTTATCAGGGAGCTCTGGCAGTGGGAGCTCTGGTAGGGTAGTGCCTAAGGCATCTGACTGCTAACCAGAAGGCTGATGGTTCAAACCCACCAGCCACTCCTTGGAAGGAAGGCTAGGCAATCTACTCCCTTAGTGATAATGCCTCGGAAACCCAAGGAGGGGTCGCTATGAGTCACATCCAACTCGACGGCAGTGAGTGAGTACACTTATCACAGTGTGCAATCACTTCATTTGTTACCTGCTTTTGCATCTCACCCCCAATAAACTTTAAGTCTTATACAGATATTATGGATTGAATGGTGTCCCCCAATAGGTACACTGAAGTCCTAACCTATGTACTTGTGAATATGGCCTTGTCTTGCCACCTTCTACCTGGGCAAGTCCCTTTACCACTAAAGGTCAGTTTCCTCATCTTAACAAAAAGAAAGAAAACTAAAAGGAAGAAAAAAAGACGCAGGAGAATCAGATAAGATCAGCAGTTTGCAAACTGTTTCAAGAACTCTAAGGTTCCTTGAAGGTGGCCCAGAGACCACCCCAGACAGGGCCAGGCTGAGCAGCAGGAGACCCTACTCCCTCCCCAGCTCCACCCAGAGCAGCACTACTTCCACCTGTTTAGCCTATTTTGTTGTTATGTACTGTCAAGTCGAACCCGACTCATAGTGACCCCTCCTTGGGTTTCTGAGGCAGTATCACTATGGAAGTAGATTGCCCCATCTTCCTTCCGAGGAGTGGCTGGTGGGTTTGAACCGCCAGCCTTCTGGTTAGCAGTTAAGTGCCTTAGGCACTATGAAAACCAAGTGCCTCGCTTCCAAAGCGAGTTCCGGGGACAACTGGGCCTGGTGCTCCATGATGTGCCTACAAGTCTGAGATGTGCTGAGAGTCTCTGGGGCAAGGGTCCTACCTCCCCAAGTCTGAGTTCACCCTGCTGACACCCCTGCCCTGATGGCTCGGGCCCACCTCACTGAAGATGATCCTCGGCGGCTGCCTCGAGAGCTGCTTGGTCGGTTTCACTGTGGTTTTCCATGTCCTCCCAAAGAAGTGTCGGTAGGTGACGTCAAAGAAAGACACTCGCAGATGGCATTCGATCTCCGACAGCACTTCCTGCAGGCCCTGGAGAAGGAAGGGAGCCAGCCTGAAAGAGCTGTCAAAGTCATGAGCCCTCTCACAGTTGCCAGATGGAATATTCCAAGGAGATATTGGCCTCTGAGCATCCACCTCCAGTGGTTTCCCTTGTAGGAAATCCCTCTTACACTCCCACTGCTCTTGGTGGGATGGTAAGTCTAAGTTCTCAGCCTTCCCTGGCCAATCAGACACAAACCTAAGACTCACTCAGCACCAGTGTGACACGGGAGCCTGGGCTGTAAAGTGGACATAACTGTCAGGATGCATGTGTAGCACCGCTAGCAGCCACCCTGTCACCATGTGGAGCCAAGAGATGCAGGAAGAACCAAGCCCAGGTGATAGCACTTGAGACCCTGGATCAAACCATGCCTGAAGCCTGTCTACCTGTGCTAACTCCTGTAATGTGAGTTAATAAATTAGCTCTCTCAAGGAAGCATTAAGTCCACAAGACTAATGGCCCACACAAACCACAGCCTCCTCTAGTCTGAGACCTGAAGAATTAGATGGTTCCCAGCTACCACTATTGACCCCTCTAACAAGGGAAACAAGAGAAGGTCCCAGGTAGAATGGGGGGAAAATGTAGAACAAAACTAAAATCCTTAAAAAAGACCAGACTTACTGAACTGGTAGACACTGATATACTGGTTCCCCCAAGACTATAGCCTAAGACAACCTTTTAACCTGGAAGTGAAGCAACTCCCAGAAGTCACCTTTCAGCCAAATATAAGATTGGAAATAAATAAATATAAGACTGGCCTATAAAATAACAGTAACACCTGTGAGGAATGTGCTCCTAGTACAATCAACTATACAAGACCAAACAAGCAACATTTGCCCAAAAGCAAAGATAAGAAGGCAAGGTGAGGCAGGGAAACAGGGAGGGTGGCAATGGGGAAGGCAGGGTGGAAACGGAGAGAGTGCTGACACATTGTGGGGACAGCAACCAATGTCACGGAACAATTCCTGTATGAACTGCTGAATGGGAAACTAATTGACTACATAAACTTTCACCTAAAACACAAAAAAATGTTCAGATAAAGAAATAAATTAGCTCTTAGTTTAAACGATCTTAGATGGGTATTTGGTCATTTGCAACCAGAAGAGTCCTCCCTGGTACAACCAGAAACTCTAAATCCTCAACTTGCCCAAATTATCTGGAAAGATACTAGCAGAGGAAAAGCAGCTATAAATATAGAACAAAACATCCAGACCCTGTCTATACAAAGCCCTTCCCCAGGCCTTTAATTCTTGTTGCAAGTGTTTGCTTTATCCTTCCTAGTTCTTTTGTTACTGGTTGTAGAGTTCTTACTGGCTGTCCCAGGACAAACAGTTCTTTGTTTTTTGTTCACCGTTCACTTCACAAGCATCATTTGTGTATCTATCTAGTGTACTATTCTGTGGCAAGTACCGTTCCAGGCACACAACAGGGAACAAAGCAGACAAATCTCTGCCCTAATAGTGGGTGAGGGAGAAAAAGATGAGCATGCTGTTTAAGACAGGAGAGTGAGTGAGGAAAGGTTCTCAGGACATCTGAGCTAACAACTAAAGAAAGGATAAGAGCCACAGGGGTGCCTGGGAGGAGGGCACCAGGTACAAGGGGCAGCAAAGCCAGGGGCCCTGGGGAAGAGAAGCTCGAGGGTACCCAGGGACCAGTGAGATGCCCACATGGCTGCAGCAGGCTGAGAAACAGGAGGAGGAGGGAAAGACTGCCGAGAGGGGTAGGAGCCGCTTAACACCAAATGAAATACAGAGCAGAGGAAAGGTTCTGAGCAGCAGTGACTCATCTGACTTGAGACTTTAAGAAAATCACTTATGCTACCATGTGGAGATAGGACGTGGGGCAAGTGGCAGCAGGGAGATGCCTAGGAGGCTGCAGCCACCATGTATGGTGGACAGAATCAGTGTCTGCTCAGAAGGCAGGACTGACCAAATGTGGTGCCAGGCTGGACATGGAACCTGAAGGAGGGAGCAGTGTGGAGGGTGGACCATCTGCCTCATTTGCCTGGGATGCCCCAGCACCAGTGTTGTTGGTCCACATCCCAAGTGAAGGTTGGCCACGCATTTTGTGGCAGAGCAACTGGGAGTAAAGAAGGTATCATTTGCAGAAGTGGAGGAGGTGAGGAAGGGCAGGTCTGGGGAGAAATCAAAGATTTGGGTTCAATCACGTAACCATGTCAATCAGCCCACCCCTCCTTTAAATGCCCTACTCACTTGTTTCAGAGAACCTGCTACCAACAGCCTGCTGTCTCTGCCCAGCCCCCCTTGTCTCTTCCTCTCCTGTTCTAATCCAATCACAGGGGCCTCTCCAGTGCTCCTCTCACACACCAGGCCTGTCCCCCTTCAGGAAGTGTATGCTGCCCCTTCTGCCCACCCTGCACCCCGAGAGCCACATGGCTCCCTTGCTCACTTCCATCAGGCATCCCAGCCCACTGTCATCCTGACCCTGGCTCTATTTTCTATTTCTCCAGGTACTTATCCAGCTACTTATGTGCTGACTGTCTTGTCACTCCAACTAGAGCATGAGCCCCTTGAAGACAGGACCCTGAATACTCCATGCCCTGCTCTACACCTCAGGGCCTAGAACAGGGTCATTCACACAGCAGGCACTCAGCACCTCTTCCAGGGGGCCTTGTCCCAGACACCCCCTCACTGTGGGGACCACCCTAGGCTCCACCACTGACCTCCTCCTCCATGCCATCCTCAGGAGGGTCATTACCTGCAGGACCTTGTCACCCACAAATCTCCAGTGCTGGCTCCACACTCACAGAGTTTCTCTAGCTACATTCTGCTAGCCTCTGCAGCCTCCTGGTCCACAACTACATTTCCTCCACACCTCCACATCTGTGCGACAACACCCCACCCCCCTCACTCAACACCTCCTGGTCCTCCTGGCAGCCTCTCACTCCTTCCTCCATCTCAGCTCAGACTTCACCTCTCACAAAGTCTTCCCTGACCCTGTCTTTCTGGTCAAAACTATCCACCCCTTTCACCTCTATGCTACTTTGTACCTAATTCTTTCATGGCCTGACCACAGTGATGGGTCACAGTGAGTTTCTAGATCCATGTCCCTGACCTGACAGAGCTCCACAAAGACTAGCTGTGGGGCAGAGTCTTCTCAATGTTCCATGTACAACTCCAAACATATAATGGGTGCCTGATATACATCAAATGGAATTGAAAAGGACATCCCAAATGAAAGAAATCCAAAGTTCATGGTAAAATGAAACTAAACCAAAATAATAATAATACATGGAACAGTGAGATACACATCCTAAAATTAATAAAGTACTCTAAGTTTGGAATAATCAGGTAATATTTTTACCCCAGCACCTTTTACAGGGAGGTTTATTATCTAAAGTTATTAATTTACAAAACTAAAATTTTGAACACTTGTAAGACTGCCTAACTTTTTCTTTTAACATCTCTTTCTTATTTTATCTTCTGTTAAATGGTATCTTTTGATTGATTTTTACATATAAAACCAACTTTGCTTTTCCAAGATAAACCTCATTTGACCATGGTGTATTATTATCCCTTTTTATATATTGCTGAATTTAACTTCCTAATATTTTAAAGATAGTGTGTGTGTGTTAATACCTATGAAGGATATCAGTCTGTACTTTTCTTATAAATCTTTGTTCTGTTTGGGTACCAGGGTTAAAGTAGCCTTTAAAAAAAAAAAAAAAAAAAGAGTTGGGAAGGATTCCCTCCTATTTTCTAAAGAATGTGTCTAGAATTGGTATTATTTCTTCCTTTAAATATTTGGCAAATTCAACACTAAGGTTATCTGGGCCTAGAGTTTTCTTTGTAGGAAGCGGTTTACTTATAAATTTAATTTCCTTAATGAACACAGAACTAGTGCCACAGTACCTAAGGCATTGACTGCTAACAGAAGGTTGGTGGTTCAAACCCACCAACTGCTCAACAGAAAGAAGATAAAGCAATCAACTGACATAAAGATTTACCACCTTGGAAATCCAATGGGGGATGCCATCAGTTGGAATCAAGTAGATGGCAGTGAGTTTGGCTTTTTGGATTTTCTAATTCTGCTATAAAGTTTTGCAAGTTTTTAAGGAATTTATCACATCTAAGTTATCTAATTTATTGGCATATATTCATAATATACCTTATCTTTTTAATGTACTTAGGATTTGTACAGAGATGCTCCCTCTTTCATGCCTGATATTGGTAATCCATATTCTCATTCTCCTTCTCTCTCTTTCTCTCTCTCTCTTTCTCTCTTTGTGATCATTCTTCCTTAGGGTTTGCCAACTTTATTAATCTTTCAAACAATTAACTTCTAGCTTTTTTCACTTTATTATTTGTCCTTTATTTTACTGATGTCTGCTTACATGCTTACTATTATTTCCTTTCTCCTGTTTACTTTGGGTTTAATTTGTTCTTTTTTTCTAGGTTCTTAAAGAGAAAGCAGAGGCCAATGATTTTTTTTTTACTTCTCTCTTTTACTAGGAGCAACCAGCCACTGCTCAGAAGGAAGGCTGGGCAATCTACTTTTGTAGTGATACCGACTCAGAAACCCAAGGAGGGGTTGCTATGAGTCGGATCCAACTCAATGGCAGTGTATTTGTGTTCTCCTTTGCTAGGGTCATATAAAGCTATAAATTTTCCTCAAAGGACTGTGTTAGCTGCATCCCACAAATTTTTATATGTTCTTCCATTAAAAACCAAACCCACTGCCATCAAGTTGATTCAGACTTATAGCAACCCCCATTGGGTTTCCAAGGTGGTAAATCTTTATGAAAGTAGAGTGCCCAGTCTTCTTTCTTGGAGTGGATGGTAGGCTTGAACCACCAATGTTCTGGTTAGCAGTCAAATGCCTTAGGCACTGTGGTACCAGAGCTCCTTGTTCTTCCATTACTAAGTTCAAGTTATTTTCTCATTTCCCCTATGAATTTTTCTTTGGCCCAGCATATTATTGCTTAATTCCCTACTATTTTATGATCTTCCAATTATTCTATGGTACTAATTTCTAATGGAATACAATAGTAGTTGTCTTAGTTTCTTAGTGTTGCTAGAACAAACATACCGTAAGTAGGTGGCTTTAATGAACAGAAATTTATTTTCTCCGTTTAGGAGGTTAGAAGTCCAAATTCAAGGTGCCAGCCATGGGGGAAGGCTTCGTCTGTCCAGCCAGACTTCTCTGTTCACTCTGGAGAATATTCCTTGTTCCTTTCAGCTTCTCTTCTTTGGTTCTTTGGTGATCTCTACATAGCATCAATCTTTCTCTATTTGTGCTTTCTTGCTCCTGTGCCTAATTGGCTCTTTTTATACTCTGATATGGCCTCGTTAACATAATAAAGAAAGCCTTATTCTCAAATGGGATTTCATCCACAAGTATATTGATTAGATTTACAACTCATTTTTTTGGGGGGGACACAATTCAAATTCACAACAGTAATCAATGAAATGTTGTTGCTGTTGTTACTATTGTTGTTGTTAGGTGCCATTAAGTCAGCTCCAACTCATAGCAACCCTATGTACAACAGAACAAAACACTGCCCAGTCCTGTGCCAGCTTCACAACCTTGCTATACCTGAGCCCATCACTGCAGCCAAGCCATCTCATTAAGGGCCTTCCTCTTTTTCATTGACCCTCCACTTTACCAAGCACGATGTCCTTCTCTAGGGAATAGTCCCTCTGACAACATGACCAAAGTAGGTCAGACAAAGTCTTGGCCATTCTTATTTCCCAGGAGCATTCCAGTTGCACTTCTTCCAAGAGAGATTTGTTCATTTTTTTGGCAGTCCATGGTACTTTCAGTATTCTTCGCCAACACAACTAAAAACATCAACTCTTCTTCAGTCTTCCTTATTCACTGTCCAGCTCTCATATGCATATGAGATGATTGAAAATATCATGGCTTGGGTTAGGCGCACCTTAGTCTTCAAAAAGACATTTTATAATTTCAATCTTTTCAAATTTACTGACCTACTTTATTGTCCAGCACATAGTCTACCTTGGAAAATGTTTCAGGTACACTTGGGCAGACTGTGTATTCTGCTTTTCTTGGATATTGTACTCTAAAGATTCCAGTTATATCAAGTCAGTTGATGGTGTTGTTCAAATCTTCCAAATCCTTAGAACTTTATCTGTTTGCTCTATTACTGAGAAAAGAGAAGTCTCCAACTATGACTATGAATTTGAACAGCTCCCTTTAGCTCTATCCAATTTTGCTTCATGTATTTGGGAGCTGTGAATAAAACAGTTAACATAAGAGGCCTGACTGCTATTCTTTCAAAGCCTTGTTTATAAGGTTGGCCTTTGGCTAGAGTCTGAGAATATGGATTTCAGGAGGCTTCTCACCACCTTAACTGATAGGAGTGGTCACTGTGCCTAAGCTGCACAACAGTGTGGTTTATGCTGAACATCTGCTTTCTTCCCAGAAGTTTGGAATTTCTGAATGTGCTGAGGATGCCTTACTATTGTAACCCCTGTTTTACAATAGGTATACTATTGTAAACCCTGGGTGCTGAGTCTCTAATGCACTTCCCTGATGGCAACATTTCACAGGGATTATCACAACTCATTGCTGAGCAAATTAAGCATATCTTATGTGATCCACAAGGAGCCCCGTGCCGTAGCATTTAAGTGCTCGGCTACTAAGCAAAAGGTTGGCAGTTCAAACCCACCAGCCACCCTGTAGGAAGAAGATGAAACAGTCTGCTTCTGTAAAGATTTATAGTCTTGGAAACCCTATGGGGCAGTTCTACTCTGTGCATATATATAGTGCCACTGAGTCAGAATCGACTTCACAGCAGTGGGTGTGTTTTTGGGTATGTGATCCACTGGGATAGGATTCCTGGAAGCTTCTGTCTGATTGCCTCTGGACACTGCCCATGCAGCTTTTCCCTTAGCTGTCTTTTTGCTATAACAAATCTCAACTGTAGATACAACCGTATGCTGAGTCATGTGAGCTTCCTAGTGAATTGATGAATCTGGGGATTGTCTTCAGGGCCTCTTACAGAGGCGCTCACATATTCAAGATTGTTACATTGTCTTAATTAATTGACCTTTTTATCATTATGAAATGCTCTTTTCTCTCTGGTAATACTCTTCACCTTGAAATCTTCGTTGTCTGATACTAGTACAGCCATGCCAGGTTTCTAATGCCTAGTGTTTGCATGTCTTACCAAGCCTAACCCTGTAAGAAACCATTTGCTTACCTGGACAGGATGCAGTCCTTCTCATGCACCCCTACAGATCACTAGGCCTCACAAGGATGACCCAGTCACTTGGGTGCTCAGGGGGTGGCAGGAAGTGGCACTGGCCCCTCCAGCAGGTGCTCTGCCCGCTGAAGGACACAGCTGACTGCAGAGCCACTCAAGCATGACCTGAGTGTGCAAAAGGCTTGGTACATGCAAGCACATGGGCTTCTGGCCTGCCACACACAGAGATGCCAGGAAGCCCTGAGCTCTGCCCCCTGGGTTGAAGGCAGGCCATGCTGAGCTGTACACAAGGCACCCCCTCAAACAACCTGACCCGGGAAATAACCCAGGAAATCAGATCACCTGTATGCTTAAATTGCTCTATTGTAGGGAAGAAAGGAACTCTTGCCAAGTGTCAAAAAGTGCTGACCACATCACCAAGTTGTACATTCTCTTTGCTGATGGGCTATTTTGCTTCCCAATACTGCCAAGACCCAGAGTGATGGGTACAGAGGTACAGATGCAGATAAGTAAGTGAGAATCAATACATTGACTAGAAACCTCATCTCAGCTGAAAGCAATGACAACGTGCATTTGATAACAAATCGCAAAAGTCTTTACCTGCTTAATGAGCGGCCCATCAAGCCACTTCAGAACACACTGATATGCTGTGGATTCCTTCGGAAGCTGGCGCACCCTCTGGGGGTGGGGAGGGACAAGCACATTTTGGGCAAATATTTCATGCCAATCCTTCATGCTGCTGTCTCACTTGGGCCTCCAGGATTACCTGCACCATTCATGTTCAAACAAATAAAAGTTGTAAGGGCCACAGTGCTCAGAGCAACTCTGAAAGCTTCTATCTCCCACCAAGTCCCTGAGAACTTCCATACCCAAAACCCATGCTCTGCAGTGCCATCTCCAAGCACCATCACAGTAGATGGCTTTGGGGCTGGCATCCATGCTGCCTTCCCCAGGTAAAGGTGCCCAGCTGACTCCAGGGTCCTCTCCTCCCGTCTCTCCTGGCCAAGTAGAGCACTATCATCCTGGACTTGGTGACTAGCGTAGGGATGGCCATGTGCAGGGCTACTCTGTACAGTTATGCAGGTTAAGCAGGGCACAAGGGCACCAGGCCTTGGGGAACAAGTGGCACCTGAACCCAGACAGAGTATGTGGCTGTCTGACAGGCAGACCTGGGAGCATGACCCAATGAGAGCCAATGACATGCAATTCCAGGGCTTCCAGGGCTGGGTCCATTGAAAGGAAAATATTCTTTTTACTAGCCCTTAGAACAGAGAGGTAAGACACACACATACATTTGTGTGTGTGTGGGGGGGGGAAGCAGGCAAAACAAAACAGGAGGGTCTGGACACCATTAGAGCCCTGGCTCTAGGGGACCCTAAAGCCAGTCACTCCAGGGAAGTCCAGACACAGCCATGAAGCCTCTTTTTGCTCACACCAGTTTGGACCAGTTTGGTGAACTCTTGGCTCCCAAATGGCCTGGCTCATTAAGGATGTTACCTGCCCTCAGCTGGACAGGTATTCTTGAGATTTCTTTTCAGGTGACACAGAATGTTAATATTTTGGCCTTTATAAGCAGCTGAATTTTGCACACCAAAATGGCAAGCTAGGAGCAGAAGCAGTGAGTCTGGATCCCGTCAGGGGGCCCACAAGGTCAAGGGCAGCATTTGCCTTTTCCCCAGGTTGACTTGACATCAGCAGGGATAGAGTAAAAGCCACAGTGGGTAAAACTGTTGGTGACTTAGCACACAGTGAAAGTTTCATCAGTTTCATTTACAAATGCCCTTGGTGAAGCTATGAAAACTATTCATCTTGTTACATCTTGACCCTTGAACATGTGTTTATTTGGGTTTTGTTTTTTTTTAATTGTGATTTGGGTGAAAGTTTACAGACAAAATTGGTTTTCCATTCAACAATTCATACACATTTTGTTTTGTGACACTGATTACAACCCCTACAATGTAACAGCACTCTTCCCACTTCCTCCCTGTGTTTACCATTTGCATTTGTCCTTCTCTCCTATGCATTCCTGCTTTCTGAGTTTTCTCCCTGGACAAATGCTGCTCCTTTGATCTCATATTGTTTTAAGGAATGTGTACCTCCCTGGTGTTAAACCAAAAACCAAACTCAATGCCATCGAGTCAGTCCTGACTCACAGAGACCCCTCCTTGAGTTTCCAAGGCTATATCACTATGGAAGTAGATTGCCCGACCTTCCTTCCAAGGAGTGGCTGGTGGGTTTGAACCACCAACCTTCTGGTTAGCAGTCAGATGCCTTAGGCACTATGCCACTGTTCACCTTATAGGCCTGTCTATCATTAGGCTGAAAATTGAGCCACGGGGTTGAGTTGGTTCCAGGCTTGACGGGTGTCTAAGGGCCACAGTCTCAGGCGTTTCACCAGTCTCTATCAGACCAGGGAGCCTATTATTTTGAGTTTTGTTCCAAATTTTTCTCACACTCTATCGAGGCCCTCCTATTGTGATCACTTTCAGAGTGGTCAGCATTGGAAACCAGGCACCAACTAGTTCTTCTGGTCTCTGAGTCGGGGAAGTGGGGGTTCACATGGCCTATCAGTCTTCTGGACTAATTGATTCCATGCATCTTTGACTTTCTTCACTCTTCTTTGCCACAGACAGGAAGAGACCAATAGTTGCACCTTAAATGGCTATTCACAAGCTTTTAAGACCCCAGTTGCTACTCACCAAAATAGGATGTAAAACATTGTCTTTGTGGACTACATTATACCAATTGACCCCAGTGTCCCCCCAAGACTATGGGCCTAAGCCCCCATGCCCAGCAACTCATTCCCTCAAGGTGTTTACGGCTAAGAAGTATTCATAACTTTGCTCCCTGTAGAGCATGTTTTTAATTGTGTGATGAAGTGAAAAGTGGGCATAAAGCACTTCTGCTACAAACCAAAGTAGAACTGTCACCTTGGGGGAAAGCTCTGATGTGACTCTTTGGGTTGCAAGCAGAACTAGCTGTTTTTCAAATAACAAAAGAAAATTACTAAGACACAAATTATGGTTATTTAGACTTGGGTGCTTGCTTGGTAGCCATCTTCTGAAAAACAGACAAAGTGAGCCTGTCACTTCAAGGAAAACAAATAAAATGAAAGCAGTGAACAACAATGAAAACAAATGAAATCAAATACTTGCTAAGTGCCATCGAGTCGGTTTCAACTCATGGTGACTGTCTTGGTTCTCTAGTGCTGCTGTAACAGAAATAACACACGTGGGTGGCTTTAACAAACAGGAATGTATTCTCTTACAGTTCAGAGCGCCAGCTCCAGGGCCAGGTGGAGACCCCTCGATCTTGGGCTTCAGCTCTGCCTCGTTGCAGGCCCACTGGAGCAAGCTAAAGGCTTCCTCTGACTCATGCAGCTGCTGGCTGCTGAGGCTGACAAACCCAAGATCAACAGGTAAAATGGCACACTCCCAGGATCAGCAGAAAACACGGCAGGCCACTGGTTCAAGTCCAAGAATAATTCCAACATAGGGAGACAGCAGGTAACTGGTTATCCCAATGTGCCAAAAACCCTTGGGACCTTCCTCGAAGCGTCCCCATATATACTGACAGCAGACCACACCCCAAAGGCAACTACTTAGCTGCTCACAGCAGATTACACATGGAGGTGATTACAATCTCATCTGGGGAATAACTAGCTACCCAGCCACGCACAATCTTAACTACCTCAGCGACCCTATATACAACAGAACAAAACACTGCCCCATCCTCACATTCATTGTTATGTTTGAGTCCACTGTTGCAGTCACTGTCAATCCATCTCACGAGGGTCTTCCTCTTTTTCACTGACCCTCTACTTCAGCGGGCATCATGTACTTCTCCAGGGACTGATCCCTCCTGATAACATGTCCAAAGTACATGAGATAAAATCTCGCCATCCTCACTTCTAAGGAGTATTCTGGCTGTACTTCTAAGCCAGATTTGTCCATTCTTCTGGCAGTCCACGGTATATTCAATATTCTTCACTGATACCATAATTCAAAGGCATCAATTTTTCTTCAGTCTTCCTTATTCACTGTCCAGCTTTTGTATGCATGAGGCTACTGAAAATACCATGACTTGGATCAGGTGCACCTTAATCCTCAAAATGACATCTTTGCTTTTGTAACACTTTAAAGAAGTCTCTTGCAGCAGATCTGCCCTATGCATTATGTTATTTGATTTCTCGACTGCTGCTTCCATCAGCATTGATTGTGAATGCAAGTAAAATTAAATCCTTGACAACTTCAGTATTTTCTCTGTTTATCATGATGCTGCTTATTGGTTCAGTTGTGAGGATGTTTGTTTTATGTTGAGATCTACTCCATACTGGTCTTTGGTCTTCATCAATAAGTGTTTCAAATCCTCTTTGCTTTTAGAAAGCAAGGCTGTGTCATCTGCATACTGCAGGATGTTAATGGGTCTTTCTGCAATCCCAATGCTGCATACTTCATGTAGGCCAGTGTCTGATTATTTTTACAGACTGAATAAGTACGGCAAAAGTATACAACCCAGATGCACACTTTTTTTATGAGCACAATTAAGTGTTCTGGAATTCCAAGTCTTCACAATGTTACCCATAATTTTTTATGATCCACATAGTCAAATGCCTTTGTATAGTCAATAAAATACAGGTAAACATCTTTCTGGTATTCTCTCCTTTCAGCCAAGATCCATCTGACATCAGCAGTGATGATCTTTGTCTCATCTCCTCTTCTGAATCTGGCCTGAATTTATGGTAGTTTCTTGCTGCTATTCATGTTTTTTACTTTTTTTCAATAAAATTTACTTGCATGTGATATGAATTATATCATTTGGTAATTTCTGTGTTCTATTGGATCACCCTTCTTTGGAATGGGCACAAATATCAATCTCTTCAAGTTGGTTGGCCACATAGCTGTCTTTTAAATTTCTTGGCATAAATGAGTGAGCACTTCCGGTGTTGCATTCATTTGTTGAAACATCTCAATGGGTACCCCTTCTGTCAATTCCTGGAGCTTTGTTTTTCACCAATTCCTTAGTGCAGCTTGGACTTCTTCCTTCAATACCATCAGTTCTTGATCATATGCTACCTCTTGAAATGGTTAAATGTCAGCCAATTCTTTTGTGGTACTCAAACCAAACCAAACTCACTGCCATCGAGTTAATTCCAATTCACAGCGACCCTTCCTTGGGTTTCCGAGACGCTATCTCTACAGAAGTAGATTGCCCGGTCTTCCTTCCGATATTTTGGTACAATGACTGTGTATATTCCTTCCATCTTCTTTGATGCTTCCTGTGTCATTCCATATTGTTCCCATAAAACCAAACCAAACCAAAATTGACGATCGTTGAGTCAGATCCGATTAATAGCGACCCGTCCTTGGGTTTCCGAGGTAGTATCACTACAGAAGTAGATTGCCCCATCTTCCTTCCAAGGAGTGGCTGGTGGGTTTGAACCGCCAGCCTTCTGGTTAGCAGTCAAATGCCTTAAGCACTATGCCACCAGAGCTCCCTATTTTGCTCATAAAATACTTCAATATTGCAACTCAAGATTTGAACTTTTCTTCAGTTCTTTCAGCTTGAGAAATAAATGTTCTTCAGCATGTTCTTCCCTTTTGTTTTTGTAACTCTGTCTTTGCACATTTCATTATAATACTTTACATTTAGAATTGGGAAAATGTATAGTCCTGCAATGTATGAATGGGTGATAATGGTAACAAAGGTAATTTTTTGAAACTGTATGGTTAAAT